CCCAAACCCCAAAAACCCCAAACCCCAAGCGCAAGGTGGCCAAGGGCGCTTCGGAGATGATCCTGACGGACGACAACTTCACCTCCATCGTGCGTGCCGTTGAGAAGGGCCGTTCCTGGGCTTTGGAGTACCATACTTTAATACTTTTTTTTGGGACCTGTTCCTTAAAGGAACCATTATGAAATAAAAGTCTATACTTTTTTCTCCCTGGTTACTTCAAAGCCCAGGTGCCATCTACGCCGGAATCCAGAAGCTTGCTTCTGGGCATGAAGAGGGTCTTGGGATTCGGGGGTCCTGGGTTTAGGGTTCTGGGTTTAGGGTTTAGGGTTTAGGGTTTAGGGCTTAGGGCTACACGGTAGGTAATAACATTCCCTTTTATAGTTCCTGACTAGCTTGTAGCCACGTGCCCCTCTACAGCTCCTGCAGAAGACATCTTCTCCAGCAGACCCCCAAGCCCTATTCCAGTTCCTAAGCCATAATATTAGGCTGTTGGCCTTTGAACTGCCAGACCCTGAGCTCTTTACTAGAAACATGAAGCCAACCCTACAAGACACAGTCTACATCCCTTCCTGAGCGACAGCCGGGACGAACGTCGCAATAAGAAGAACAGTAGTAAGGGTAACGTAGCAAGCCATGAAGATAGAGAAATGACCGGAATCGGTAAAGTAGGTAAGAGCAAGTATAAGCAGGACAGCAAGTAAACAAGTAGTAAAAGTAGTACCAACGGCATGACAGACAAACAACAATGACTAGACATGGCCAGGACAGCCATCGTAGCAGTACCTCTCATGCTACTGGTAGTACTTAACGCCAAGACCGACAGTGTCTAAACCTCAGGTCATCCCTGATCCTAAGTCCTTATAGTACCCCTTCTAAATTCCTATAAACGCCGCCCTTCGCCCTTATAGACACCTAGCAAATCCCACTGCACCAGAAAACCACGCACACATTCCTGTAAAACCCCATCAAGGTTGCCTTCGTGATGTCGGTGCACGTTGCCGAAGTGATCCAGATCTTCTTCTGCGTGGTGGCGGACATCCCGCTGATGCGAACGCCCATGCAGATCCTCTTCCTTATCGTGGTGCACTGGGATTCGGAAAACCGGGCTTAGACACAGACGGAATTGAAACGATGCTTTTTCACAGACGGGTTTGGTGCGACCCCCTTCCTTGTAAACCCGTACACTCCTAGACCCTAAGCCCCCGCCCCCTACACCCAAGCCCTAAACCCTAAACACTCTAGGAGACCCGAAACGCTACACCCAGCTGAGCTGAGCCGAACTGGGATTTAACGCTGGATTTGGGTCTGTGGCTTACGGCTTTAGGGTTTAGAGTTAAGGGTTTAGGGGTTCAAAATCAGGCGTTCACGGCTAAGAGTTTGGGGGTTTAGGGTTAGGGGTTGTGGGAGTCAGGGCTTTTCGGGCTTAGGGCTCGTGGGAAGTCTTTTAAATTAGGGTTCCATTTCAGATCATACGACACCCTTATGAAAAGGACCCCAAAAGGGACCCTAATTCGGAGGACTGTGGTGATAATCTAGGGGCCTAAATAATTACCTATACCATTTTGGGGGTTCGTTTCTACAATTATAGTATAATGGGCACCAAAACCCTTCTAATTATTAATGCCCCTATGTTATAGAATTGTAGCCCTTATGATATCCCTTCTAAGGAACCCGTTAAAGGAACCCTGTTCTAACTATTAAGGCCCCTGCATTAGCAGAGAACTCCCGAACCTCCCGTCTGACTTTGAACCCCTCACCTGAACGCACGACTCCCAGGGTTTTGAATTAGGGGCTTCGGGTAACCCCACACCCAACCCACCTCCCGGCAGAGGAGTGTTCTCCCTAAGCCCCAAACCCTAAACCCTGAACCCCTGAACCCTAAACCCCAAACCCGCAAACCCTAAACCCTAAACCCTGAACCCCCAAACCCTAAAACTTGTCGATTTTTTGGGCTCCGACATCTCCATAAACCCTAAACCCTAAACCCTAAACCCTAAACCCTAAACCCTAAACCCTAAACCCTAAACATCGGGTTTCCGGTTTAGGGCTTGGAGGGCCCAGCCCGAGATCCGAAAGCCCAAAGCGCCAAGCGACCCTCCTCCTAAGGTCGGGTTTAGGGTTTAGGGTTTAGGGTTTAGGGTTAGGGTTTAGGGTTTAGGGTTTAGGGTTTAGGGTTTAGGGTTTAGGGTTTAGGGTTTAGGGTTAGGGTTTATAGGCTTTCCCTAAGGATCCAAGTGCCCATTATTTGAGGACTTTGGAGCCGTTTTGGGTACTTGACAACCATAAATAAGGACTACTTGGATCCTTAGGCCTTAGGGATCTTTACCAATCTTGTTGCGTCGGGATAGTCTCCCCCCGAAAACCCTATTCTAATTTTTCAGGCTTCTACACCCTAAACCCTAAACCCTAAACCCCTATTCTAATTTTTCAGGCTTCTACATCACCCTTCTCCCTGAAGGTGACGGACTTGCCCCCGTCAATTGCGCTGGGGATGGAGCCGGCAGAGAAGGACCAACAAAGATCGACAAGCCCCAAGCCATAACACCCGAAACCCGAAACCCGAAACCCTAAACCCTAAACCCTAACCCCTAAAGGCTACAGGGCATAGCCTCAAACCCTGGCCCTGCTGCCGAAACCCTAAACCCGACAGCCTAATCTATACGCCTGAAGCCTTCATTCCGGAAGCCTAAGCTTTAGGCCCGAAGCAATAGTGTAAAGTCGAAACTGCACACTCAAAGGTGAAAAGCCTAAGCCTCTACCCCATAACTGAAGCTTTAACGCCTAAACCCGCAAAACAATGAATCCAGGATGTAAGACCTTCCTCCCTGCAACTTGTTGATAGTTAGTTCTTTATCAAACAGATCTGGAAAGGACATCCTGGCGCAGCCCCCGAGGGCTCGGGACGAACCCATTGTGCTGCTTGCTTCGCCGAACGCATGTTTCGTTCTGTATCTCATACTAGACATATAGGGGTCGGAAGAGTTCATCTTACTATTCCACGGGTCCCAGTTCAAGAGCTGGTTATGATGTGCCCCGACGCCCTGTTCTATCCATTGAGGCGCTATAGTACGTACGGCTTGCTGCTGTGCAGGTGTCGTTTCTTCAATCCCATGCTCTCACCTCCTAACACCGCCTTTTCGCCATGAACCTCAACTCAAACTCAAGATGCCGACTGCCACACACCGGCATGTTTGTGATATGCGAGTACGGGGCGTGAGAGGGTTTCTGGGGTGGAGCTGCAGCGTTTAGGGCTTAGGTTTGAGGTTTCGAGCTCGCCAGAGCTTCGTCTTTTCAGGTTTTCTGTTTTCAGAGTCCTCAAGACTCTCTACTTTAACATCCTGCAGTGGGCTCAGGGCTTTGGGTGATGCCTTTATCCCGAAAAATGTGGTAGCCGTCAAAAGTAACATAGCAACCCAGCTTCAACTCTTGCTGCTTCAATCCCCTATTAGCAGAGTTTCGGAAGCCACCACAGAATTACCTTGCAAGGACTAAAAAAGCCTCAGACATGAAATGTGCCGAAAGCATCGCTTGAACGCAGACCCCCCAAGCCCAGGCTTCAATCCCTCCTGACAAGGTTCACAACCCTAAACCCTGAACCCCTAAAACCTAAACTCCTAAACCCTAAATCCCTAAACCCTAGACCCTAAACCCTACCTTGGGATCGATCTTGCTAGTTAGGAGCCCTCACAATGCAGGTCTTCTTGGGTTGCAGGCGAAACTCTAAGCCCTAAGCCTAAGCATCAAATCCCCGAAGGGAGCCCTTATATCGTCCCAAGGCTGGGCTGGATGTGGCTCAGCATTTGCCTGAATGGCTTGGTTTTGGCGATTGCCCCTTTGGTCAAAGCAGCTGGAGTTCCGTCCAAGCAAGGGTTTTTGAAGGGATTGTAGGGAATGCAAGGGCTTATGACAATATGATCTTATCAGTGTTTTATGGTTTTGACTAGGGCCGTCATACAAAGAATTGGGTCTTGGGGCATATAGACCCTACACCCTAAACCTCGGTTGCACGGATCATGAGTACGTGCCGAGCTGCAGGGACCAAGTTGTGCAAATCGGTGGCGATAGCTTTGAACACGCCCCAAACCCAAACTCCACAACGAACCCTGAAAACCCTGATGTACTTGGAGGGTCGGGAGACTTAGTAAGTAGGTAATAAGTAGACTTATAAGTACCCTAAAAGGGACCCTCATTGGGGTTATAGTACTTATAAGTCTATAAAATAGCCATTTACTAAGTCCCCCGACCCTCCAAGTAATCCTGAGAGGAACCCTTCAGGGAAAACTTAGCACGAATCTTGAGCTCTAGCAGAAGGGACCTCAAAGTTAAGGGATGTAGCAGCCCAGGATTCGTAGATTTTGGACTTTCAGGTTCAGGGTTCAGGGTTTAGGGTTTAGGGTTTAGGGTTTAGGGTTTAGGGTTCAGGGTTTAGGCCGTAGGGTTTAGGGGGTTGACCGTAGGGTTTATGGTTTAGGATTTAGTATGACCCCTTCTTTGGTGGGCGGGGGGGGGTGATTATTCAGGAGCCCACCTTATCTCTCAGCCCGTCTATTTCTCAGCTGCATTGACGTAGATAGACTTTAGGGCTTGCGGCTGCGAGTTTAGGGTTTATAGGAGCCAGTGCATGCAGAGAAATCGATGAAAAAAGATCCGAGAATGTACCGAGATGCCAAACTTCCTTGATGCCAAGAGGAAATATGCCTTGAAGAAAGGGAGTTCAGTAATCAGGGGTCCGCATGGGGCGTTTAGGGCTTTAGAGTTCCATGGCATTGGGGCGTCGATTCAGGAATTCAGGCTCGGTTAAGGAGGGTATCAAGGTAGAAGCCCTACAGCCTAAACCCTGCCCCCTAGGCTTAGTATAGCCCTAAACCCTAAACCCTGTAGGCTTAGTATTTTTAGGGTTTAGGGTTTAGGGTTTAGGGGGGTTTCACAGGGGTTTTGGCGTGAGTGGTGTGGAGGTTGAGGCACTGGGTTCAGGATCCCGTGGGCTTGTCGCGCGCTAGGCGATGAATGCAAAGGTCGGAATAGTTCCCAAACAATCCCCTGTCATACACCGCTGGGCAGAACGAGATTCGCTTGTTTTTCCACATGCCCCCCAAACCTTATTCTAAAGATTGCAGCTCCTTTTCTAGCTACGAACTCGAGTTACGGGGCTCATCCTAGATGGGGTTAAGGATGCTGTGATTCAGGGTTGAGGGTTCGGGGTTCCCACAATGAGGAAGCTGCTATGTGGGGTCCTTTTGCTGGGGTCCGCTGGATACATGAGCGGAAGCGGTTTTGTGATAAAAACTTGGCCTTAAGCCGAAAGTCGTACCGAACCCCGGAAAACCAAGGTCATCATTGCCATCTACCTCATCTCCCTTCATCGCTTTGCGGGGGCAATCTTCTTGCGAGACATCTTCAGCCATGTGGAGGCGAATCCAGATTATGTCTGGCTTTGTCTTGAGCATTTTTGAGTTCAGGTTTTGGGGTTTATGATGTAGGGCGCAGGGTTCAGGGTTACGGACCTAGGATTTAATTTAGGGGTGTGGATTCCACCCCCAGAGACTGAGCCCTAAACCTAAAGCCCCTAAACCCCAGTAGATGGGCCAAGGAAGCCTTCTACGCAGATACGGTTCCGCCTGCAGTAAGCGGGAAGCTCAGGTAGAACATGCGCAACCCTAAACTCTGAACTTCTAGCTTAAGCCGAGATGCCGTACCCTAAACCCAAGCTCAAACCCTAAACCCCAAAACCAAATGACCCAATCATACAGTCCCCAACCCAAGCCTAAACTCTAAACCATCAACCCAACTCTCAAGCTCAAACCCCAAACCCAAGCATACACCACAACCCCTTGACCCAATCCTACATTCCTTCATCGCGGGGTCTGCATGGGAGCCAAAACCTCACACCCTAAACCCAAGTTCAATTCCCAAAGGCTACGATAGATCCTCGGTTTAAAAGCCCAATCCAAAAGCCTCAAACTCCCAACCAGCCACTATACAACATAATTACTATATAAGATATGTCATAAGATACTATATAAGATACTATATAAGATATTTCATAAGATACTGTATAAGATACTCTACGATGCTATACACCCTAAACCCTAAACCCTAAACCCTAAACCTTAAACCCTAAACCCTCAAACCCTTAACCCTAAACCCTAAACCCTCTACGAGCCCAGTGATCGCCTCCTTCTGCAAAGTGGAAGGCCCACGAGACGAAGTCAGTCGACGGGGCTTTGGCGCAGGCGCGGACGGTGGCCTTCGTCGCCCTGGTCCTCAGCGAGAGCTTCGGCTTGGTGTTTAGGGTTTTGGAGTTTAGGGTTTTGGAGTTTAGGGTTCAGGGTTTAGGGTTTAGGGTTTAGGAGTTGAAGGGGCTGAGGGGTTTTGGAGTTGTAATTAGGGGTTTAGGGGTTTTAGGGGTTTAGGGGTTGAGAGGTTTAGAATATTTAGGGTGGAGGGTTGAAGGTTTAGTGGGGAACTTGTAGTTTTATCTTTGTTTTAGTGCCCTAAATCCTAAACCCTCAACCCTCAACCCTAAACCCTAAACCCTAAACCCTAAACCCCAAACCCTAAACCCTAAACCGAGACAGCCGTCAAGGCTTCAGACCCTAAGCCTCAAACCCTGGAGGCCAGGGGCGCAAGAGTCAGTGAAGCAGTGTCCACTATAGAAGCCTCAAGAATGACCAAGATTACTTCTTAGGGTTCCTGCTAAAACGATACTATGATATACCCCAGAGCCCCCTCTTCTAATTCTTGTCGGCGCCTGTATGTCAGAATCCTTATAGCAGCCCTTGAAAGGAACCCTTTGCAGGAACCCGTTCTGATCAATGAGCCCCCTATACAGTAGGAGGGAGTATGGGGACACTATTTGCCAACCTCTATAGTTGGAGGGCTGTAGGTCAGCTTAACTCTTAAACCTTAAAGCCTAACCCTAAACAGAAAAGGATATTGTGGAGGCCTGCGTTTCGTGGGTTTAGCTACTTGCGACCTTTAACCCTAAACCCTAAACCCTAAACCCTAAACCCTAAATCCTGAACCCTAAACCCTAAACCCTAAACCCTAAACCCTAAATCCTAAACCCTAAACCCTAGGAACGTTCGCGCATACGTCTGCCGCTCCTTCACGAATCCCGTGTGGGTCGGCCTCTGCCAAAACCGCGTGATGCTGCGCGCGGTCCTAGTCGCCCAGGCCGGGGCTTGGGGTTTTAGGGTTTAGGATGTAGAGTTTAGGGTTTTAGGGTTTAGGAAGTAGAGTTTAGGCTTTTACGGTTTAGGATGTAAGGTTTAGGGTTTAGGTTTTAGGGTTTCGGATGTAGGGTTTAGGATGCGAGGTTTAGCGTTTAAAGTTGAGGGTGGAGTGTTTAGAGTTTAATGCGTGGGTTGAGGTTTTAGAGCTTTGACTTGTGAGGATTGGGCTGGGTCTGGGCTGCAGACGCAGGAGCATTACGAGGTGCAAGGTTTTGCGGTCTGCATCCCTAAACCCTAAACCCTAAACCCTAAAATTAGAACCCGAGCCAGAACCCCATGCCCCCGTTCACCAGATTTCTGCACTGCACCATAAACTCGAAGTACCAAGAAGGGCCCGAAACTAAAATCTCCCAAAACACTAAACCCCATAAGGCCCCCTATAATGAGTCTGAATCCTAAATCCGAAACCCTGAACCCTAAGCCGCCCTGGTATTGGATGCCTCTCGAGATTTTCGGGAACCACAGAAAAATCGTTGAACAGGACAATCCTAAACCCTAAACCCTAGGCACAAAGCCTAAACCCTGCACCCTGAACCCCAAACCCCAAACCCTAAACCCTGAACCCCTGAACCCTAAACCCTAAACCCCAAACCCCTAAACCCTACAACCCTAAACCCCAAGCCCCTAAACCATGCACGTCCCCGAACCCCTGAACCCCGCAGGCGGCGATGCTCTGCGCCGTGCTGGTGCCTTTCCTTTCGGACCAGGCCCTGGTTTCCTTGGGAGTTTGGGGTCCTGCCGGGGAGACTTACGACCCTTGCCCTAAACCTTAAGGGTTTAGGGTTTAGGGTTTAGGGTTTAGGGTTTAGGGCTGAAACCATGTTCGGATTGGGTTGTAACTGGCCCTTACAAAATCACGCAGCCCTGAAATTGCCCTGCAGGCCCTAATTACATCCCAGACTCCCAAGCTCTGAACCTTCAACCCCTAAACCAAACCCTAACCCCCTTACAGCCCTGAACGGCGGGAGGTTCTTGGTTTGTCCGGCGGCGATATCGGAGTGTTTGGTTGGGCCCTCGCCTGCATCGGCCCTGCAGTGGCCGGAGCTGAAGTTATGTGTGAGACTGAAATTTATTAATGGTTTTAGGGTTTAGGGTTTAGGGTTTAGAGGCCTCACGGTTCCCTAAGGCTAGTACTATAACATACCACAAAACGCTTTTGAACCGTTGTGGTGAAAGCAGTTATAACGCTGAGGTTGAAGGCATCTTCGGGCTGCAGGGGTAGAGATGTTGGAGTTTAGGGCTCCGTGTGGTTGACTATAATAAGGGCTCTAGGATTTTGTGTTATGTATGGCTCACTACAAATGCTGCCATCCGGGATTTTGGGTTTAGACTAGAGGTTGGAGTTGAGGGACACGGATTGGCGTTTCCACGAGTGGCAGTGTTCCGAGAGATGTGGCGACAAATGCATGATCTTGCCATGCAGATAATCCGCGAGCACAACCAACACCCTAAACCCTAAACATTAAACCCTAAACCCTAAACCCCAAGGCCCAAATCCCGCATCCCAGATCCTGAACCCGAGAACGGGGCAGAATGGAAACAGACAGTGGAACTCATAACCTTGGGCTGATTGCAAACCTTTCTGAGACCACATAAACACAAATCAGGCCAATAAAGTTTATTTGAAACTGTCTGGAATCCCGCTGGCCGGGGGAGGGGGGGGGGCCTTGCATCCTTATACCACCCAAATCAGGATGATCATGTCAATGATTTTTTGGCCCTTAAACTTACTTCTCTGTGCAGGATGGGGCATAAGGGTCTCTGGGCTTCCCGTCTTAGGGTTCCGGGCGGGTTGGTATTAATCTACGGGATTGCATACTACGTAATCCTACTTGCCATATCAGAACTCAATCTGAAAACTTATTTAAAATCCTGTGGTTTGTTTTGAGGCCTTTGTAGAACACGGACAAAGCACAAAGGCCTAGTCAAGCAATCAAGGCACGTAGCATTCTCCAGGCTTCCACCATTTTTGCAAGACGGAGCCCGGTATTTGGGAGAGCCCAGGCAACCCTGGTCCTTTGCGAGCTGACGAAGCCGCTGGTCTAGGGCAAAGTGGACCTTTACACTTGGAACGGTTTCAGGATTTGTATCAGCAGTCGATGAAAGGGTCTTAGAAGATGTTCAAGGCTTTACGAGGGTTTTGGGGCAGCGCGCAGTACATTTTTATACGAAGCATCATATCGAATGATGCAGAGCTTTATCTGAGGGGTTTAGGTGCAAGCATTCGGGGCCTCGACAGCGCAAATGGGATTTTTTCCCGAAAGCATCGCGAAGGGTTCTTCCGTGCGGAGCCCCGCAGAGAAAATACATAGAGAATACATGGGGTCAAGTACACTTGACTTTACCACACTTGACTCTACGACACTTAGCTTTACCACACTTGA